AAAACAAATGATTTTGCATTGCTTGTATTACTTCAGTTAATGTTTTTATGAAGATGTAAAGGTCAATGATACAATAGATTTTTGTCTGGAAAATTGATGAAAACAAATTCACTTTTAATTAGGCCCAAGATCTATGTTGTAATGTTTCTTTAAGGCAAGGTCATGCTGAAATTGAAAGTGTTTACACACAATGTCACCCATGTTTTTCTCTATTTCTCCTCTGAGATGAGGATAAGAGCAATTTTAAGTTTCATCTTTGCCCTATGACATTTTTTCCCTTTCATTATGTTCTTTGAGTAACGATATAAAATACTAACTTTTTCTTTTCCAGAGCCATATGTTGAAACCTGTTTGACGACACATTAACCGACTTTTCTCTTCTTGAGGAAAATTGTGGCTCAAAACCCATTTTTCATCGGCGTAAGGGGGACAAAGGGTTTTGGTGTGGCAGGTGATGAATGGTTAGTGGGAGAGAATCCATCTGCTGCATCAACACAACGGAAATGGGATCGTCCACTGATAAAAAGTAAAAAAGAAAAAGCACACTGAGACACAAACCTGATTCATACACCAGACCAACACACACTGTCGGGTACAATGGTCCTGTGAGTATGTGTGTGTGTGTACACGTATGTGAGAGAGGATGTATTTCAATCTGTGTCTCTGTCTCTTGATTTGTTTTTTGGGTTTGTCTCTTACACACACACACACACACACTCACAAAACACAGGTATTCACAAATGGCTGTGTGCCATCCTGACTAAATACCAACAATCTATCATCTGAGATATTTCATACTTCCTCAATTCAATAAGCCAATGTGATTTATGTAGTGGCTCCAGTAGCTTTGGTATAGAATTATGTAGAGGTTTAGGAGTAGTGACAATAATATGCATTAAGTTTTTAGTTCTTCTTTAGATTTATGTGCCCGCTAACAAAAACAAAAAGTTCAGACTTTTAAACAACTCTCTTTCTAAGTGTAAGGTTTGGGAGTTGCATTACCATATACACAATTAAACTATTTCAAATTGAAAATGGTTCTAGGACTGCAGTGTTAAGCTTTACTCCCTCCACTCAACAATGGTTTGCTAACTTAAAGTTCACAGAACTTCACATTTACCTGATGGAGGACGACACCGTAAATCACATGACCTTAAATCTTAGTTTAGTACAGTTACACACATGCACCAATATCTCACATTACAATTAGGTTGTTATGTTTCGGTATTCAACTAACAACTTGTCAGCTCCAGTACAACCATATTTCAGTTGGGGTATCTTGTGTGCAGCAGGTAGAAATGAAAAATAAAAAACTGGATGTGGCACTTGACGATGACACCGGGGTCTCCCACACACAGCCAGAGATGAACAGATTGCTTTTAAGTATTTTTTACTTTACTTAAACCGAGAGCAAACATAAATTCCAAACCAACTTCAACTTGTCCAGCCGTTTCTGCTGGTGCTGATTAATCCTCTGGTCCAGATCGAGGTGCCCCCACACTGGAGACAAAAGGGGAAAGAACAATGATAAGGTTGCCTTGAGCCACGGAGCATATTTTTCTGTGTGATAAAACTTTTCTGAATGGTTGAATTTTAATGGACTTCAATACAACAAAGGAATAAATTGCTGTTAACTTTCACTCTAACCCTTAACATGATAATGAAACAGCTTTTGATTCAGTGTCATGGTTCTTCCTATTCGTTATTGCCACAGATGTCTGCTCTGTGTATGAACCCCTTAACCAAAAGCATTCAGAAAAACAGGTGGGTTAAAGTTTTTATAATAAAATAATACGAACATAAACTTGCACTATATGCAGATGTATAGACATATGTAAT